AGACAAGCTGTCACAAGGTGTGGTAACAGTATTGTATATGTGAATGTCCTCACAGTGACAGTGTCCTCAGTCCCCTGACTGTGTATGTCTGTAATCCTTAGTCTCCCAGGAAGAGCCTCCAGCGCACTTTCTCCGACGAGAGTATCTGCAGTGGGCGCCGGGACCCCAGCTACGCCAGCTCTCAGCTCTATGAGTCCACGGCCCCCAACGACCTGCTCTTCAGCAGCACCCTGCCCCTGCGCCGCACCCACCAGCCCGCCAGCCACCTGCCAGACAAGAAGTGTGAGTGTCCCCAAAGGGACAGGTTGTGGCAGGGGGCTTTCAGGGACTCGGTTGCTGCAGCTCCTGTCCTCTGTGAGAATTTGGATTGGACCAGTCGTGCATGTCCTTCACTTACCCTTTGCACATTTGGTTGGTGTTTTGCACAGGGAAAGCTTGCAGCACGCTCTGGCGGTCCTGGGTTCCGCGCGGCGTGCGGCTCTGCTGCAGCTGCCCGCCTCACGGCTTCCTGTGCTTTGGCTGGTGTGTTTTCGGAGGGTCCTTCTGCCAGCCTGGGGCCGGTTCATGCCAGGGCTGCAGGTGGCTCAGCCAATGGGGGTAGCTGACGGGACCTGCAGAGGGTGTCCTTGGCAGACAGTCGCTGACGCTGCAGAGCTACGTGTGCGCTGCAGCGTGGGGCGATGCTGACTGGTCTCTCTCCTCTCCTGCAGCCAACATCTCGGCCTCAGAGCTGTCCCTGACAGAGGCGCGGGACAAGACTTCCCTGCGCCGGCTGGACCCCGGCATGATGCCCCTTCCCGACACGGCCTGCGGGCTGGAGTGGTCCAGCCTGGTCAACGCAGCCAAAGCGTATGAAGGTAGGCGTGCGATTGATCGAGTCTTGCCATAGCTCGTGCTTTTACTTCTGTCTGTCTGGGTTTAGAGTACCTGGGTTTTGAGTTTCGTGTTTGGTGCATATATGCTTTGACACTGAACCTCTTAGGCCATGAACAGATGAGATAACTGGCTTGATTTGATTCTAAGAGGCATCAACAGTTAAACTCGAAGCAGAGGACGCATTTAAAGCGCAAGTGCATTTAAAACTGAGAACAGGAGGCATTTTTTACTCTTAGGGTAGCGGGAGGATGGAATATGTTGCCCGAGCCGATACCCTGACCTCTGTAAGGGACAGCTGGGCAAGATTCTCGGATTGGTTAGCTGCTGACGCCAGAACGGGCCAGATCACCTGTAGCCTTTTTATGTCACCATAAAAAGCGACATAAATATATCGTTATGTCACTATTGTGAGCCAGGGCTGACAAAGTCCCTGAGTGCACCTGTGGATGTGCTTGGTGTTTCAGACAGTGTGTGGTTGTGTGGTTGTGTGAGAGTCTGGACTTGGAGAGTGGGGGGGTCTGTCTGAGAACTGGCAATGTCCTGCTCTGAGCCTGGGGACCTGACACTCCTGGGACCCCACAGACACTCTGCTCCGGACCCCAGCGGACTGAGCGGTCCTCACGGGCCAGGCGCTGGGGTCCGACCCGCCCTTCAGCAGTGCTGGAGTGGACTGGGAAGGAAGGTCCCTCGAGTGCATCTGCCTGAGCCCGTCGACTGCAGGGCGGTTTGTGAAGAGTGGGCTTGTCCTGAAGGTAGAGTGCTGTCCTGTCAGCGGACGGGACGGCCCGCCTTCACTCTCGCTGTCGGTCGGGTCACGGCCCAGCCCGGCGGCGCCCGGAACCCAGCTCGGTCCTTCTGCCGGTGTGAACTGGCGCCCGTGTCCGCCCGGTGACACGCCGTCCTTTCTCTTGCAGTCCAGAAGGCCGTGTCGCTGTTCTCCCTCAACGAGCCGGTGGCGCTGCCGGACCTCCGCCCGGACCCCAGCCCGGTGCACTTCCAGGCACCTCCGACGCCCCGGACCACCCCCACCATCGGGTACGTCCCCCAGGCCAGCTCCGAAGGGATCCCTCGCAGGAGGCCGCCTTGAGGAGTGGATCGGGGGGCCTGTCCTGGGGGTGTTTGTTTCTAGCTTTGCACAGCCAGAGACTTAACAGCGCCCTCTGGTGTCCCCTAGTGGAAATAATAATAAACTTTATTTTATATAGCGCCTTTAAAGGTGGCTTCTCAAAGTGCTTTACAGAAGTAAAGGTTTTGAGTCTAGATTTTGTTTAGGGAAGAGTTTAGAGAAGGTGACTCTCTGATATCCCTGGGGATAGAGCTCCAGAGCTTTGGGTTGCAGCAGGAGAAGGCCCCGTCAACCCTAGAGTGTAGATGGGCTTGGGGGACAGACAGAAGCCCAGAATCAGAAGAGCGAAGGTTGAGGGTTGGGGAGTAGGGCGGTTGTAGCTCAGACAGGTGTAGCTTTGCTGCGGGCCCAGCGCCGGTTCCAGCTCGGGCCTGACACGGCGTCTGCCTTTGCTTTCAGCGAGGACATCTCCAGCGACCTGTCGGGCAGGATCCATCACCTGGAGGTGATGCTGAGGCAGCTGAACAGCGACTTGGAAAAGGTGAGGGGGAGACTGGAGCCCCAATCCCTTTCCGGGCCCCCGGAGTCGCCCGGATTAACCCCCCTCCCTCCCTCCCTGTCTCGCCAGGAGAAGCAGGACAAGGTGGCTCTGCTGGTCGAGGTGGCCAGCCTGAGGGAGAACAACCAGCGGCTGCAGGAGGAGTCCCAGACGGCCAGCGAGCAGCTCAAGAAGTTCAGCCAGATGTTCGGCCGATCGGCGGAGCGCAAATAGCGGGCGGGGGTCTCCCCCACCCCCCCACCCCGAAACAACCGGGGGCGGAGAGGCTCGGCTCGGACCCTCGTACTCAGTGCAGCTACTCGGGGAATCTCCCCTGAAGCTCCTGGACGGACTGGGTTTGGGGGGGAGGGGGGGAGACCTGAAAATGCCAAAGGAGAGGTGCCCCCCGAGTCCTCTCTGTCGGTCGAGACCTTGCTGACCTGGCTGGGGGGGCCGCCTTTCACTACAGGCACACAGGTGCCCCCCCGAGCCAGGAGCACTTTCTTTGAGCAGAACAGGTACTTTTCTCTGTAACATTGGGTCAGTCTTAAAAACTCTGAAACGAATTGAAAATTCAATAGTTTTAATTATTGTTGTTGTTGTTGTTATTATAATTATTATATTTGTTTTTTTATTCTAATTACTGAGGTTATTTTTTTAATTGCTTTTCTACCACGATTTGGGTTGGTCTTCATTTTTGTACATCTCACTCCGCCGTGCGTTGGTGCCCGGCCCGCTGGACTCCGGATCCGATCCGATCCGAGGCGCGGCGGGTGGCGTGTTCCTACTCGACAGTGACACTAACGGCGTGGGCGTCGAGTGAGATCCGACTCTTCCCGGGGCTGTCCGCTCGGATGCCGCTGGGAGAGTCGGGAACTTCAGTCGGCCTTTGTGTTGCGCCAGGGGGCGCGGCCGGGCCCTAGCTCGGTTCAGAAGACCCCCAGAATTAGCCCGCTGAGCGCCGGTCTCCGGCTCGGCCTGTTTGGAGCAGTGAGGCTTTCACCAGCCTGGTGTCCGTTCCGGGTGCTCATGTCCAGGTGCGCCTTTCCTGGCTGCGTTAGAGAATGAACACCCCCCCCCGCCCCGGAAAACAACCGGCTCCGCTGTCGAGATCTGGGCCTCGTCCACTGTGCCCGTCGCTCTCTCCCGGACCGCTCGGCACATGTCGCGAGAGTTTGGGGCCCCGTCGCCGTGAGCACGCCGCCCGCATGGCTGGGCTCGAGTGGGTCGCTGTCGGTGGGCTCCAGGTTCCGGGGGTGAAACACTACATTGGTAGAATCTGCCGCTCTGTCCTTCCCTCCTTTTCCTTCTCGACGCACGTGGCCTCGCGGTCACAGAGGGCCCCGCGGGCGGCGGCGTAGCTCCCTGAATGCGCCGTGCTTGAGCCCCTTCCCCCCGTCCCCCCCCTTTTAATTCCTGGCAGAAGCTTCTCAAACAGGGTACAGGGGCTCGGCTTCTGCCCGGCTCTGTTGCTGCCGAGCGGGCCGACGGGAGCGCGGAACAGGATCGGAGCTGCTCCGAGCGGGCGGGCGGACCCCGGCGTGCTTCCTCTCTCCCCGAGACGCGCGCTCGCCGCTGTGCCGTTTCAGCTCCGCTGTGAATATAGACAAATTGCTAATTTTATAAAAGATCATTCAAAAGACGACGACGAAAGAGAAAGCCATATGACTATTTTTATAGGGTGCGTACAGCTATTTTTGGAGGGCTAAAGTATTTTTGTACGTTTTTAAAAGCAGGTCGCGCGGGAGACGGGCGAGAGGTTGATGGCTGTTAATGGTTCAGAGACAAAATATCGCCGTTCGGCGGTCTTGGCCCTGAGAACTCAAAGGGTCTGTTGTGTCGGGAGAGAGAGTCCAGGCGGTCGATGGTGGGAGATTTGGAAAAGCAGTTGACGCCAATTCCGACCTTGTGCAGCAGGTGGCGACACTGGGGCCTCGCCGCCATGCTGGATCCCCCTGCCCAGCGAGCGAGGCATCGGACAGGGCGGACCCAGCTGAGGAGGTCCCCCAGGGCGGTTGGACAGGAGGAAGACTCGTGGCTGAGAGTGACCGCGGGTTCCTGGCTCTGTCTGGCCGGAGCCGAAGGGGCCGTCTCCCGCCGGAAGCGCTCGGTTGTACACTACAGCTCGACGACTTTAACTGTACTCGCGGTACGCGCAGGGCGACGGGTCGGTTCTCTTGTTTTCTGAGTTTAATTTATTTTTTTCCCCTGGGTTGTGCCGCGAGAGGCGTCCCGTTCGGATCTCGCCCGCGCGTCGCCCGTCGTCCTCGGCGCCGAGCTCGCGGATCTGTCGTCCCGCCTCTCGGGGAGCGGAATACGTTTCCGATTAGGTGTAAATGGAACTGTGTAAATGATATTTTCCTTGTTTTATATATATATATAAACCACACAGCTAATTTTTCTTGAAGGTGAGACGTCTATTTAATTTTTTGTATTCTGCCTGTATGCCAATTGAGTTTGTTCCGATTGCTCACTCTTTGCGTTCTGCAGGCATGTACAAGGAGGACAAAATAAAAGTTTCCTAAAAACTGGGGCAGGGGGAGAGTCTGAGTCATTCCCCCCCCCGTGTGTTCCGGTCTGGCAGTGGCCTGTAGTACGGGAGAGACGCGGGACAGGCGTTTGCGTCTCTGTCCTGTCGCACTCGTCGGAGGAGCTGGAAGGAGAGCTGGAGTAGTTCCCGACGTCCCGCACAGCGTCTTGAGATGGAAGCTGCGTCTCTCGCAGGAGCTGGCTTGGGGAAAGGGTCCCAGGTCTGGCGGGGGGGCCTTGTGTCAAGATGGCAGCTTCTGGGAAACTGTACACCACTTGTCCCGGCTCGCCTCCCAGCTCCAGGCCCGCCTGCCAGGGCCGGTTCCCCCATATTGGGGGAGAAGGGGGTGAAGTCTGTCGGGGCTCCAACCTGGCCAAACGCCGAGCTCATGCTGGGCCTGTGGGACATGGGGAGAGCGGGAGGCGGCACTTGTAGATTTTGGGTGCTAGGCTCTGCAGGGGAGGAGGTGCGTTGTGGAGGATGGTGAGAGGGAGGGGAGCAGACTGGAGGTGGTGGTACCCAGAGCAGCTGGAGTACAGCCTGGCATGAGGGCGACGCCTCTCCTTGCAGCTGAGAGTCGGAGCTCTGGGGTGACTGGTTTCTCGAAAGAAGCTTCTCTCCAGCTTCTGGGCCGAGGGCAGACCCAAGCCTGGGACCGGTTAGGATCCGGGTGGGATTTTTCCAGACAGGCTGCACCTGCTGGCTTCTTACCTGCCGACAGGAGGGCGAGAGCTGGAAGGGACTGGACTAAAGTGGGCTTGCTCTGCGCTTGTTCTCTCATGGCCAGCTCGGTACGTCATCGTGCGCATGAACTAACAGCCCCACTGCTAGGGGCGTTTCCCCGGCAGCCCAGCTGGGGCAGCGGTGTGGAGACTGCAGTCTGGCTGGGGGAGTGCTCCACCCACACCACCATCGTCAGAGGTGCCCCAGTGCAAGGTGGGGCCAGGTTCAGCCCCTGCAGATCAGCCCACCAGGCGATACGGCATCTGTAGGGTGCCACCTTGATCCTGAGCCGAGTCCAGACCTCAAAGAGCCAGGATCCAATCCAGCCTCAAGGTCTTTGTGTGATGCGTGTGTTTTTGTTTTGTTTTTTATAAAAGACTGTGCTCTGATCATTCTCACCTCAGGCAGGTCCTCGCCCATCTGCCTCTCCTCTGCAGCCCTACAGCTTGTATGGGGGGACTGCAGCCTCAGCCAGGCTGCTGAAGAGCACCATGGGTCCCTCAATGTCGATTAGCAGCTCTGGACGCTGTTCCCAAACTGTGGGAGGGGGGTTGTAGAAGGTGGCCCCTGTGTGCAGACACTCTGCCGGTGGCGTGCAGGCAGTCAAGGCGACGTGATTGCAGGGCACCTGAGGTCCACACCTGTGCTGTAATGAGTGAGTGTGTGCAGGTGTGTGTTATCCAGCGAGCACCTGTGTGTGTGTGCGCGCGCAGGTGTGTGCTAGTCAGCAAGTAAGCTTGTGTGTGTGTGTGTTTGTGGTTGGCCTGTCTGTGCCACGGGCCCCCTTGCGGTTGGAAGAGGAGCGTGAGAAGCCCATCGCTGACATCGGGCTTAGCTTCGGCAAAGGGAAGAAGTGCCCTAACGCTGCAGATCCTCCTGGGGTTCTTATTTTGCTTTTATTCAGTTACCTGAGGTCTCTTCAGAAAAGGCTAAGTGCTGTCTGTTTACAGCTGGCAGCTGGTTGATTGTGACAACAGGTGTGCAGAGTGAAATGCGGGGTGGGGGGGGGTCTTTTTTTTTCCGCTGGCCTGTAACTATTAGCAAGTGCAGTTAGTAAAGGTGCAGTTCTTCTCAGACTAGAGCTGTGCCAGCTGCAACACCTCACATTCCCTGCAGCACCAGCGCTCGAACAGCAGGTGGTAGCAGAGAGACATGCAGCCTTGACTCCCCTCCTGGTCAGTACTGCGCCTGTTCTTCCCAGTACCTGCTTGGATGAGCTGTAGTAAGTACAAGAGATCAGCTTGTCTGTGTGTGGAGTAGACTGTGCAGTCTGGTATAAAAGCAGTACAGTCCTCCAGAGGCGAGAGGTGGAGACTTTAAGGAAGTGATTCTTGCACACAGTAGGGCATTAAATATTATTACTAGCAAGTGTTCAAGCACATGGAGAAAATCATTTTTTTGGTCTCAAGCTTCAGCTTATGGCTCTTTAAAGAGGAATAACTTTCTAGCTGTTGGACAGGGAGTTTGACTCCTTATTGAGAGGAGATTGAACTGATGCTGCAAATCTCTGGCCTGCGACCTGATGTCTGGGACTCTATCCAGAGGGTCCAGATGTGTGTGAGGGTGGAGTTGACATCGCAGGAGGGGCAGGTTCGTTTTGGGACTGTGGGGTGGGTGTGTAGGTGGGTTTTTGCTATCCTGTTGGAGAGCACAGTGATGGGTGGTGTCCGAGTGGTGTGGCTGTTCTGTTTTGGCAGAGGACAGGGTAGCGTCTTGAATTTTAGTTCTAAACTTCTTGTGTTTTAGGAGGGAGGGTATCTGGAACTGTAGAGGGTGCAGGGAAAGCTGGAAATCTGCAAGAATTAAGGATTCTGTGTGCTGCAGAGAATTGCCTTTGAGGTACTGATAACGCGGTAGTTTCAGGCCTTCTCAAACCAGCTCTCCAGGCAAGCAGGGTGAAAGTTCTGCACTCCTTCTGGCCTGCGCTGATGGCAATCTGTTCTAAACGCGCGTCAAAACTTTCAGCCTCCACGAGGGTGTTGCTAGGATATGTCATTGGTAATGAAACGGACATGTAATAGAAAATGCATCTTTAAGGTGAGCCTTTGAGTTGGTGCAAAAGTTGGACAAATGATTCCAAGATGTTAAAAGATACTTCTCTACTTCAATCTAAAACTACAAATCCAGGGTTTCGTTTCTGAGAGACCTGAATTTCTGAAAAGAAGGAAGAGCTACTGCTCTGTCACTTAAGGCTGCTTGCTGATCCAGGAAGAAATTTGAAGCCTTAAAGTTCCACGAGTGCAGTAGCAGGGTTTAAAATGTCTCGTGGTGTTGGGTATGTAATTGCTCTCTGGCTCAGAAGCAGTGTGAGGAGAATTTGTTCTGAGCAGTCTGCAAGTGCTGGAAGTCACATCTAGGGAAACACCTTTTACAGTGACTTTGACCACACTGAGAGGATATTCAAGTACTGCAGCAAACAGATGCATCACTTTTGACTGTCTTTATCTCTTTCCCTGGAGAGCGTGGAGCTGACCCAGCTGAAGGTTTGTTTTGGGATGATGTGGAGAAGGGTGATGGTACGTGTGTGAACTGTTGGTGACTTTTCTCTCCTGGCTTAGGAGAGAGTAGTGGTTTGTAACTTTTTTCTTATTGAAGGAGAGAGCCATGAAGAATCAATGCTATGCAGCTACAGCCTCATATCAAGGGAAGAAGGCATCCTTTTGATGCACAGACTAACTGAAAAAAAAGATGCTCCCATACCTGTTTTTTGCCAGTAGAGTGCAGCATCGGTATGGTTAAAGGTTAATAAGCAGTGTTGGAGTGAGCTGTTTAATGTTGGATCACACCAGGTGCTAGGAATAGTGACGGGCAAATATTCACACGAGGTGCCTTTCACACTGGACATTTGGCCGTTGGTATCCATCTCTTGCATTCTGAATTTCATCACAAAGCTAGATCTTTAATATAAGCACGTACAGGTTTTCAAGGACAGTGTAATAAAGGGTTCGTGGGGACTGGACAGTGCAGGCTTGCTCTAGGCCTGGAGGCATGAACACCTACACGTCATCAAACTAACCTGCTTCACAGTTGGGGGGAGGTACTGACTGACGAGTTTTTTACCACTCATAGCCGTGAAGCCTATTACGTTGAATATTTGGCAGGAAAGCTTGGCAGTTTCCCTGTCGTTCAGGGAGCTGAAGCTGCTGTCTGTTAACTTTCATTTCACTTTGACCTTCCAGCTTGGCGATAACAGCAGGCCTTTAGATGTAACAATTGGAGGCTTCTGTTCTTCCTTCAGACCAGTTTGGTTTTTTGCTCATTTTTGTTTGTTGTGTGTTAAAAGGTGTAACGTGCCTTTCCTAACCCTTCCCTTTGAAACCAGCTCAACAGGTTAGGCAGGTCTCTTCTCCTATGACACTTCTCTTCTCCTGCAGCCAAATGGGGAGGACGCAGAGTTTGTTAGTAAATGAGAGAGAGTAAACTGCCGGGAGGTTGGTTAAGTGAGTAGGACGTTTATAGAGATTGTGGTATGTGTTACTTTTGAAAATAGGGTGTGTCTTGACTGGGCTTGTATTTCTGCAGCAAGGAAAGAAAACTGAAGCTTTCAGCAGGTGCCGAGTTTAAGCAGGGCTCATATTCTTCATCAGATTGATTTGGTGCAATGAAATTTCGGCACTTTCTGGAGATTCTTGATTTGTGAGATGGATGTGCGGAGATCGGGACTGGGATATAGTGTGGAAGAAATTTTATTTAACACTGGGCTGATAAACCTTTTCACAGTCTGTTATGATGAATGTTAAGAGATTTAGAGGAATTTGATACAAACCAGCACGTAAGAAATGGAGATTCTAAAATTTGAAAAACAAATAGCAATTTGTCTATCTGAATTCTCAAATGTTTTTGGGTGTTTGTAAGCTCTTTGCCAGAAAAGGTTGAAATGTAACACCCTCAGTTACGTGTAAAATCAATGTTTTAATTTCTGTTAGAAGTGGGAATTATGTGTTGGTTAGATGTGGCTTAAATTCAAAGCCAGTTCCTGCCCTGTTCAACTTAACAAACAAAGCTGATCCCTGTGCCCAGTGATGCGTGTGTACTCTCTGAGTAGCACTAGCGTCTAAAGAGGAGTCTGCTCTGGTTTAGTGTCTCTGCCCTTGCCTGGAGAAGCTGACTTCTCTCTAGGGGACCCATGATTGTAATTTTCTAAATGAGAAGGTGGAAGGGCCTGGAGCTCACCTGTCTGCTGCGGCGCTGCTGGCCTGGGCCTATTCCTCCACGCGGTGCCTGGGCTCCAGCCAGGGAGCAGACAGAGCTGGCCCGGTCTTGGGTTCGGCTGTCTCCC